GTATAAAGTTTTATTTTGGCTTGTAAATTTATTATTAGTTTAATTTATATGTAAATTTTTATATGAATATTTATTTATTTTAATAATAAATAATTTTTTTTTATCCGCAGTAATTAATATTATTAATTAAGGAAACTTAGAAATAGTAATACTAAAGAGTATTGGCTAAATTTGTGCCAGCAGYCGCGGTTATACGAATAATGCAAATAAATTTTTTTTAGTTGAAGTTAAATTGTTTATTTATAAAATAAAAATAAATTTATTAGGTGAAATTTTAAATTTATAAATTTTTTTATTAGAATAATTGAAGCTTGAAAATTTTAGTAATAAACTAGGATTAGATACCCTATCATTTAAAATGTAAATTAAAAAACTAAGGTAGTAGTAGTTATGTTCTTGAAACTTAAAAAATTTGGCGGTATTTTAGTCTATTCAGAGGAACCTGTTCTGTAATCGATAATCCACGATGGACCTTACTTAAGTTTGTAATCAGTTTATATACCGTCGTTATTAGAATATTTTATAAGAATGTTAATTTTCAAAATTTTTTAAAAGAAAATATATCAGATCAAGGTGTAGCTAATATTTAAGTAGAAATGGGTTACAATAAATTTATTTAAACGGATATAAATTTGAAATATTTATTGAAGGTGGATTTGATAGTAAAATTATAAAGATTAATAATTTGATTTTAGCTCTAAAATATGCACACATCGCCCGTCACTCTTACTACTAAGGTAAGATAAGTCGTAACATAGTAGATGTACTGGAAAGTGTACCTAGAATGCAATTTAAAGCTTATTTAGTAAAGTATTTCATTTACATTGAAAAGATTTTTGTGCAAATCAATATAAATTGATTAGATTTTATTTATTAATAAATTTTTTTTTATATTTTAAATTATTAAAAATAATTATAAATTGAATTGTTTTAGTATTTAATAAAGAAAAAATAATATTAATTATAGTGTAATAGTATTGTGAAAGAAAATTGAAATAATTTGAAAAATTTTTATTTTAAAAGAAAATTTAATTTATTGTACCTTGTGTATCAGGGTTTATCAAATAAAAATTATTTAAAATAATTTTCTCGATTTTAAAAGAGTTAATATATTATGAAAGTTAATGTGGCAAAATTATTTTTAATAATATATTAGAAATGAAATGTTATTCGTTTTTAAAGGTATCTAGTTCTTTAAGAAATAAATTTAATTTAGAAATTTTATATTATTTAATTAAATAAATTAATTAAATAAATATTTAATTTTAATATTTTATGGGATAAGCTGTAAAATAAATTTTTAAAAATAAATAAATATGTTAATAAATATAAGCTTAGAAATAGCTATTATTAATAAAAGTGTTATAATTTATTTTATAATAATTATTATTTATTAAAATTTTAAATTTTTATTAAAGTATTCATTTTAATAATTAAAATGAAAAAATTATGATAAAATTAGTATATTAAAATGTATAAATAAATATAAATGAAAAGTTTTTATAAAGAACTCGGCAAAAATAATGTTCGCCTGTTTAACAAAAACATGTCTTTTTGATTTTTTTTTAAAGTCTGACCTGCCCACTGAAACATTTTAAATGGCCGCAGTATACTAACTGTGCAAAGGTAGCATAATCATTAGTCTTTTAATTGAAGGCTGGTATGAATGGTTGGACGAGATATTAACTGTTTCATGAAAATTTATAATAGAATTTTATTTTTTAGTCAAAAAGCTAAAATTTATTTAAAAGACGAGAAGACCCTATAAATCTTTATATTTATATTATTATAATTTTTTAGATTCTTTTTATTATAATAATAGATTATATTTTATTGGGGTGATATTAAAATTTAATAAACTTTTAATTGTTTAAATCATTAATTTATGAATAATTGATCCGTTATTAGCGATTAAAAAAACAAGTTACTTTAGGGATAACAGCGTAATTTTTTTGGAGAGTTCATATCGATAAAAAAGATTGCGACCTCGATGTTGGATTAAGATATAATTTTAGGTGTAGCCGCTTAAATTTTAAGTCTGTTCGACTTTTAAATTCTTACATGATCTGAGTTCAAACCGGCGTAAGCCAGGTTGGTTTCTATCTTTAAAAAATGAAAATATTTCAGTACGAAAGGACCTAATATTTGATAAATTATTATTTTTATATTGAATATAATTAATATAATTACTATTTTGGCAGATTAGTGCAATAAATTTAGAATTTATTTATGTAATTTTTATTACAAATAGTACTTGTTTTTTATAGAAAATTTATTATTTATTATTGGAAGATTATTATTAATTATTTTTGTATTAGTAAGAGTAGCATTTTTAACTCTTTTAGAACGAAAGGTTTTAGGATATATTCAAATTCGTAAGGGACCTAATAAGGTTGGAATTGCAGGAATTCCTCAGCCTTTTTGTGATGCAATTAAATTATTTACTAAGGAACAAACTTATCCTTTATTGTCTAATTATATTTCTTATTATTTTTCACCAATTTTTTCATTATTTTTGTCTTTATTGGTTTGGATATGTATACCTATATTTGTTAAACTTTTTTCGTTTAATTTAGGGTTGTTATTTTTTCTTTGTTGTACAAGTTTAGGTGTTTATACAGTAATAATTGCAGGTTGATCTTCAAATTCAAATTATGCTTTATTAGGAGGTTTACGAGCTGTTGCTCAAACTATTTCTTATGAAGTTAGATTAGCTTTAGTATTATTAAGTTTTATTTTTTTAATTGGGGGTTATAATATGTTAATATTTTATAAGTATCAAATATTTATTTGATTTTTATTTATTATATTTCCTATAGCTTTAGTATGATTTAGAATTTCTTTAGCTGAAACTAATCGAACTCCTTTTGATTTTGCTGAAGGGGAATCAGAATTAGTTTCTGGATTTAATGTAGAATATAGAAGAGGAGGATTTGCTTTAATTTTTTTAGCAGAATATGCAAGTATTTTGTTTATAAGAATATTATTTTGTGTAATATTTTTGGGAAGTGATGTTTTTCATGTATTTTTTTATGTTAAGTTAACATTTGTTTCTTTTATATTTATTTGAGTTCGTGGAACATTACCTCGATTTCGATATGATAAATTAATATATTTAGCTTGAAAGAGTTTTTTACCTTTTTCATTAAATTTTTTATTATTTTTTGTAGGGTTTAAGATTTTTTTATTTTATTTAATTTAATGAATTAATTTTAGTAAAGTTAATAGAAAATTTGATTTCTATCTTATGTTTTCAAAACATATGCTTATTTCAAGCTCATTAACTAATTTAATAAATTATCTCATCATTTAATAATTAAAGGATTAAATATGAAATATGCAAAGTAAACTACAGTTAAAATTTGTCCTACTAAAACATAAGGTTCTTCAACTGGTCGAGCTCCAATTCATGTTAATAAGATTACTGTTACTACTATTACTCAAAATAAAATTTGATTAATAGGGTAAAATTGAATTCCTCGGAATTTTCTTAAATGATAAAATGGTAAAATAGCTAAAATTGCAATAGAAAGAACTAGAGCAATTACTCCTCCTAATTTATTAGGAATTGAACGTAAAATAGCATAAGCAAATAAGAAATATCATTCTGGTTGAATATGAACTGGTGTTACTAATGGATTAGCAGGAATAAAATTATCAGGATCTCCTAAAAGGTAAGGATTAATTAATACTAATAGAAGTAAAATTATTGTTATGACGATAAATCCTACAATATCCTTGAAAGTGAAGTATGGGTGGAATGGAATTTTATCAATATTAGAATTTAATCCTATAGGGTTATTTGAYCCAGTTTCATGTAAAAATAAAATGTGAATTAATGTTGCAGCTAATACAATGAATGGTAAAATGAAATGGAATGTAAAAAATCGAGTTAATGTAGCATTATCTACAGCAAATCCTCCTCATACTCATTGAACTAAATCAATACCTAGGTAAGGAATGGCTGATAATAAATTAGTAATAACTGTAGCTCCTCAAAAAGATATTTGACCTCATGGTAAAACATATCCTATAAATGCTGTTCCTATAACTAAAAATAAGATAATTACTCCTACTAATCAAGTTGGAGTAAATAAGTATGATCCGTAATAAATTCCTCGTCCTACATGTAAATAAATACAAATAAAGAAAAATGATGCACCATTAGCATGTATAGTTCGTAGTAATCATCCATAATTTACATCTCGACAAATATGATTAACTCTATTAAAAGCTAAATTAATATCTGCAGTATAATGTATTGCTAAAAATAAACCAGTTAAAATTTGAATTATTAAACATAAAAATAATAAAGATCCAAAATTTCATCAAGCTGAAATATTAATAGGTGCTGGTAAATCTACTAAAGCACTATTAGCAATTCTAAAGATTGGGTGTTTGATTCGTAAAGGTTTGTTCATTAGTTAAATATTGGTCGAAGAGGACCCTTAAATAATTTAGTAATTTTAACTACAGCAATTAATGTAATTAATAAGTAATTTATTAATAAAATTGTTAATAAATTAGTTGGATAATTATATAATTTATTAAGAGATAAAGAATTTTCTATTAAGTAAGAATTTATATCATAAATAGATTTAATTTCTAAATTTTGGTATTGTAGTAAAATATTTTTGTCTATAAAAAATAATGTAATTATTATTACAGAAAATATTATTAATGAAATAAATAATAATTTAATTGAAAATGAAAATATTTCGTTTGATGCTAAAGAAGTTACATAAATAAATAAAACTAATATACCTCCTAAGAATACTAAAAATAAAATATATGAAAATCAAAATCTTTTAGTTATAAGACCTGATGTTAAAGTTACTAATGTAGTTTGGATTAATAGAGTTAATCCTATTGCTAATGGATGTTTTATATTTATAAAAATAAAATTAAAAATAATTAAAAGAGTTAATAAAATTCATTGTATAATATCAAGAGGTAGTTTAATTAAAATATTAATTTTGGGGATTAATGATAAAGAAATTTCTTTTCTCTTGAAGTTTTAAAAGAAATAATCTTATTTTTGATTTACAAGACCAATGTTTTTGTTAAACTATTAAAACTAATGATAGCAATTTTAAATTGAAGCTTACCAAGTATTTTATTTATTATAGGAGTATTTACTTTTGTTTCTAATCGAAAGCATTTATTATCTATATTGTTAAGATTAGAATATATTGTTTTAAGATTATTTCTTTTATTATTTATTTATTTAAATATATTAAATTATGAAAATTTTTTTAGAATAATATTTTTAACTTTTAGTGTATGTGAAGGAGCATTAGGTCTTTCAATTTTAGTATCAATAATTCGTACTCATGGAAATGATTATTTTCAAAGATTTAATATTTTACAATGTTAAAAATTATTATTAGAATTTTGTTTTTATTTCCGTTGTGTTTAATATATAATACTTATTGAATGGTGCAAAGTTTATTATTTTTATTAAGTTTTGTTTTTATTTTAATAAATATGTATAGAAATTATTTTATATCAATTTCTTATTTATTTGGATGTGATATAATTTCTTATGGATTAATTTTATTAAGATTATGAATTGTATCTTTAATATTAATGGCTAGTGAATCTATTTATAAGTATAGAAATTATACTAATTTATTTTTATTAAATATTATTTTATTATTAATTTTATTAGTATTAACTTTTAGTAGAATGAGATTATTTATATTTTATTTATTTTTTGAAAGTAGATTAATTCCTACTTTGTTTTTAATTTTAGGGTGAGGTTATCAACCTGAACGTTTGCAAGCGGGGGTATATTTATTATTTTATACTTTATTAGTTTCTTTACCAATATTAGTTGGTATTTTTTATTTATATAAGGCTACTGGAACTTTAAATTTTTATTTATTAAATAATTATATATTTAATTATGAAATTCTTTATTTTTCTTTAGTTATGGCTTTTTTAGTAAAAATACCTATATTTTTAGTTCATTTATGATTACCTAAGGCTCATGTAGAAGCTCCTGTTTCTGGTTCAATAATTTTAGCTGGAATTATATTAAAGTTAGGGGGTTATGGATTATTACGGGTATTTCCTTTTTTACAATTAATAGGATTAAAATTTAATTTTATTTGAATTAGAATTAGATTAGTAGGGGGAGTATTAGTTAGATTAATTTGTTTACGTCAAACAGATTTAAAGGCTTTAATTGCTTATTCTTCAGTTGCTCATATAGGAATTGTATTAGCTGGATTAATAACTTTAACTTATATAGGAATTTGTGGTTCTTATACTTTAATAATTGCTCATGGTTTATGTTCTTCAGGATTATTTTGTTTGGCTAATATTTCTTATGAACGAACAGGAAGACGAAGATTATTAATTAATAAGGGGATATTAAATTTTATACCTTCTATAGCATTATGATGATTTTTATTAAGATCTGCTAATATAGCTGCTCCACCTACTTTAAATTTATTAGGAGAAATTTCTTTAATTAATAGAATTGTTAGTTGATCATGAGTTTCTATATTTATATTATCATTATTGTCTTTTTTTAGAGCTGCTTATACTTTATATTTATATGCTTATAGTCAACACGGTAAAATTTTTTCTGGAATTTATTCTTTTAGAGGAGGTTCTGTTCGAGAATTTTTACTTTTATTTTTACATTGATTTCCTTTAAATTTGTTAATTTTAAAGGGTGATATATGTATATTATGATTATGTTTAAATAGTTTAATAAAAATATTGATTTGTGGTGTCAATGATAAGAGATTTTCTTTTTAAACCGTGAAATATATATCAATTTGTACAATTAGTTTTGTAAGATTATTTTTTTTTAGATTGTTTTCCTTTTTTATAGGACTTGTTTTTATTATAAATGATTATAGAATTTTTATTGAGTGGGAAGTTGTTTCGATGAATTCAATAAATATTGTTATAACTTTATTATTTGATTGAATAAGTTTAATTTTTATATCTTTTGTTTTAATAATTTCTTCATTAGTTATTTTTTATAGTAAGGAATATATAGAAAGTGATTATAAAATTAATCGATTTATTATATTAGTATTAATATTTGTTACTTCTATAATATTATTAATTATTAGTCCTAATTTAATTAGTATTTTATTAGGATGAGATGGTTTAGGATTAGTTTCATATTGTTTAGTAATTTATTTTCAAAATGTTAAGTCTTATAATGCTGGTATATTAACAGCTTTATCTAATCGAATTGGTGATGTTGCTCTTTTATTAGCTATTGCTTGAATATTAAATTATGGGAGTTGAAATTATATTTTTTATTTAGAAGTAATAAAAAGTAATATAGAAATAATAATTGTAGGAGGATTAGTTATGTTAGCTGCAATAACTAAAAGAGCTCAAATTCCTTTTTCTTCTTGATTACCAGCTGCTATAGCAGCTCCTACGCCAGTTTCAGCTTTAGTTCATTCTTCAACTTTGGTAACTGCTGGTGTTTATTTATTAATTCGATTTAATATTTTATTAAGAAGTTCATGATTGGGTAATTTATTATTATTATTATCTGGATTAACAATATTTATAGCAGGGTTAGGAGCTAATTATGAATTTGATTTAAAGAAAATTATTGCTTTATCTACTTTAAGACAATTAGGATTAATAATAAGAATTTTATCAATAGGTTATTATAAGTTAGCATTTTTTCATTTATTGACTCATGCTTTATTTAAGGCTTTATTATTTATATGTGCTGGGGCTATTATTCATAATATAAATAATTCTCAAGATATTCGATTAATGGGAAGTTTAAGATTAATAATACCATTAACTTCTTCTTGTTTTAATGTAGCTAATTTAGCTTTATGTGGTATACCTTTTTTAGCTGGATTTTATTCTAAGGATTTAATTTTAGAAACAGTTTCTTTATCTTATATTAATATATTTTCTTTTTTTCTTTATTTTTTTTCAACAGGTTTAACTGTATGTTATTCTTTTCGGTTAGTTTATTATACAATAACTGGTGATTCTAATTTTTCTTCTTTAAATATATTAAATGATGAAGGTTGAGTAATATTGAAAAGTATAATAGGTTTATTAATTTTAAGAATTTTTGGTGGGAGAATGTTAAGATGATTGATTTTTCCTACTCCTATAGTAGTTGTTCTTCCTTCTTATTTAAAATTATTAACATTATTTGTTTGTATTGTTGGGGGTATTATAGGTTATATAATTTCTAATGTTTCTTTATTTTTTTATAATAAGGCTTTAAATAATTATAATTTTTCTTATTTTTTAGGTTCTATGTGGTTTATACCTTATATTTCTACTTATGGAATTATTAATTATTCTTTAATTGTTGGAAATATAGTAGTTAAATCATTTGATCAAGGTTGATCAGAATATTTTGGAGGTCAACAATTGTATTTAAATTTAGTTAAAAATTCTCAATTAAATCAAATATTACAAAATAATAATTTAAAGATTTATTTATTAAGTTTTATTTTTTGAATTATAATTTTATATATGTATATAATTTGTTTATATTCAAATAGCTTATATTTAGAGTATGACACTGAAGATGTTAGGGAGATTAATTTAATCTTTGAATATAGTGAATTTTTTTTAGTAATTTATAAAAAAAAATATTTTTAATTTTACAATGAAAATGTAATGTTTTTATTAAACTATATAAATAAAGAAGTATAAATGGAATTTAACCATTAAAAGAAAAAAGTTAGCAGCTTTTACTTGAACATCATACTTCTTTAATTGGAGTATTGATCTCATTTCTATCATTAACAGTGATAAGCCTCTTTTTGGCTTCAATTAAAGAATAAGGGTAAAATTACCTAAGATTAGGTCGAAACTAATTGCAATAAATCGCTTCATATTCAAGGTAGATTGAAATTTCAATACTTTTTGAATGCAAATCAAATGTTATAATTAACTACAACCCTAATTAATTTGATCAGTTTAATATTCCTTGATTTCATTCATGATAAAGACCTAGTAATAAAATTAAAATAAAAATAATTGATGTAATTGTTCATATTATTAAATTAGAAAATTTAATAATTAAGATAATAGGAAGAATTAAAGCAATTTCTACATCAAAAATAAGAAAAATAATTGTAATTAAAAAAAATCGAAGTGAAAAAGGTAATCGAGAAGATGATTTTGGATCAAATCCACATTCAAATGGGGATGCTTTTTCTCGATCAGCTAATGTTTTTTTTGAAAGAATTGAGGCTAGTAATATTACTACAATTGAAATTAATAAAATAATTGAACTAATTGTTAAAATTGATAAAATTATCTATACTATTAATAATAGACCATATGATTGGAAGTCAAATATACTTTTTATACTATATAGATTAATTAATTAACCTCCTCATCAGTAAATTGAAACATAAAGGAATAATCAAACGATATCAACAAAATGTCAATATCAAGCAGCAGCTTCAAATCCAAAATGATGATTTTTAGAAAAATGATTGTTTAAGTGACGAATTAAACATACTAATAAAAAAGTAGTTCCAATTAAAACATGAACTCCATGGAATCCTGTTGCTATAAAAAATGTTGAACCATAAACAGAGTCAGCAATTGTAAATGGAGCTTCAATATATTCGTATGCTTGAAGAATAGTAAAATAAATTCCTAAAATTACTGTAAAAAATAATCCTTGAGTAGTTTGGGAGTGATTTCCTTCCATTAAACTATGATGAGCTCAAGTTACAGTAATTCCTGAAGTTAATAAAATTACTGTATTTAATAAAGGAATTTGGAATGGATTAAATGGAGTAATTCCTATAGGAGGTCATATAGCTCCTAATTCAATTGATGGAGAAAGACTACTATGAAAAAAAGCTCAAAAGAATGAAACAAAAAATAAAACTTCTGATAAAATAAATAAAATTATTCCTCATCGTAAACCTGTAGTTACTGCGTCAGTATGAAGACCTTGAAAAGTTCCTTCTCGAGAAACATCTCGTCATCATTGGTAAACAGTTAAGATAGTAATAATATTACCTAATAAGAATAATGAAACATCATATTGATGGAATCACTTTACTATTCCAGCGACAGTTGTTATAGCTCCAATTGAAGCTGTTAATGGTCATGGACTATAATCTACTAAGTGAAATGGGTGGTTTGAGTGAGTTGACATTAGTTTACTTCACTAGAATATAGGGTTCTAAGAACAGCAAATACATAAGATTGAATTATAGCAACAGCTGATTCAAGAACTAATAAAGCAATTTGTGTAATAATTAAAAGTCTTAATAAAATTGTTGATATAGAAGGACCTGTATTACCTAAAAGAGTTAATAATAAATGTCCAGCAATTATATTAGCTGTTAATCGAACAGCTAAAGTACCTGGTCGAATTACATTACTAATTGTTTCAATGCAAACCATAAAAGGTATTAAAACTGCTGGAGTTCCTTGAGGTACTAAATGAGCAAATATATGTTGTGTATTATTGATTCATCCAAATAATATAAAACATAATCATAAAGGAAGAGCTAAAGTAAGAGTTAAAGTTAAATGACTTGTACTTGTAAAAATGTAAGGGAATAATCCCATAAAATTATTAAAAAGAATTATAGAAAATAATGAAACGAAAATAAAAGTTGATCCATTAGCTCCTATAGGTCCTAAAAGAGTTTTGAATTCTTTATGAAGAGTTAGTAAAATATTATTTCAAAAAATATGGTAACGAGAAGGTATTAATCAATATCTAGAAGGAATTATTAAAATTCCTAAAAATGTTCTTAATCAATTTAATGATAAATTAAAAATACTAGAAGAAGGGTCAAATACTGAGAATAAATTTGTTATCATTTTCAATTTAATGAATTTGTAGATTGTGTTTTATTAATTAAATTTGATTTAGGTATAGAAGGAATAAATGAATAGTAATTTATTACATTAAAAATTACAAAAGCAATTGAAAAAATAATAAATAAGCTTAATCAACCAATAGGTGCTATTTGAGGAATTAAAAAATATCAATAAATTGATAATTTTAGTTTGACAAACTAATGTTATATATTTAACTAATTTTTTCATTAGAAGTAAGTGCTAATTTACTATAAAATGGTTTAAGAGACCAGTACTTGCTTTCAGTCATCTAATGAAGAATTTATATTATTAGAAATTCACTTAATAAAGTAATTTACTGGAATTCTTTCAATTACAATTGGTATAAAACTATGATTAGCTCCACAAATTTCTGAACATTGTCCGTAAAATAAACCTGGTCGGTTAATTAAAAAATTTGTTTGATTTAGTCGACCAGGAGTTCCATCTACCTTTACTCCTAGTGCTGGGATAGTTCAAGAATGAATTACATCAGCGGCAGTTACTAAAATTCGAACTTGAGAATTTATTGGTAAAACTACTCGATTATCTACATCTAATAAACGAAAGCTATCAATTGATAATTCGTTAGTAGGAATTATATATGAATCAAATTCAATATTTGCAAAATCTGAATATTCATAACTTCAATATCACTGATGACCAATTGCCTTTAAAGTAATTGAAGGTTCATTAATTTCATCAAGTAAATATAAAAGTCGAAGAGAAGGGAAAGCAATAAATAATAAAATAATTGCAGGTAAAATTGTTCAAATAATTTCAATAGTTTGTCCGTGTAATAAATATCGATTTACATATTTGTTAAAAAATAATATAAACATTAAGTATCCTACAAGTACAGTAATTATTACTAAAATTAAAAGTGCGTGATCATGGAAAAAGATTAATTGTTCTATTAAAGGAGAAGAACTATCTTGTGAACCTAAATTTGCTCATGTTGACATTTATTATTCTAATAAAAGTAAAATACTTTATATATGGAGCTTAAATCCATTGCACTAATCTGCCATATTAGAAATTAGTTAATAAAGGCAATTCAGAATAACTATGTTCAGCTGGTGGAGTATTTTGTAATCATTCAATTGATGAATTTAATTGAACAGGGAATAAAACTTGACGTTGAGATACAAGACTTTCTCAAATAATAAAGAAGAAGAATAAAATTCCTAATAAAGAAATTGTTGACCCAATTGTAGAAATTACATTTCAAGTTGTGTAAGCATCTGGGTAGTCTGAATATCGTCGTGGTATTCCTGCTAATCCTAAGAAATGTTGAGGGAAGAATGTTAAATTTACCCCAATAAATATAATAGCAAATTGACTTTTTAATATCTTAGTATTTAAAGTTAATCCTGTAAATAAAGGATATCAGTGAACAAATCCTGCTATAATAGCAAATACAGCTCCCATTGATAAAACATAATGGAAGTGAGCTACTACATAGTATGTATCATGTAAAATAATATCAACTGAAGAGTTAGCTAAAACAACTCCAGTTAAACCTCCTACAGTGAATAAAAATACAAATCCTAAAGCTCATAAAGTAGCAGGGGAATAGTTTAATTGAGTTCCATAAAGAGTTGCTAATCAACTAAAAATCTTAATTCCAGTTGGTACAGCAATAATTATAGTAGCTGAAGTAAAGTAAGCTCGTGTATCAACGTCTATTCCTACTGTAAATATATGATGAGCTCAAACAATAAATCCTAATAATCCAATAGCTAATATGGCATAAATCATCCCTAATGAACCGAATGTTTCCTTTTTACCTGATTCTTGACTAATAATATGAGAAATTATTCCAAATCCAGGTAAAATTAAAATATAAACTTCAGGGTGTCCAAAGAATCAAAATAAATGTTGGTATAAAATTGGATCTCCTCCTCCTGCAGGGTCAAAGAATGATGTATTAAGATTTCGGTCTGTTAAAAGTATTGTAATAGCTCCTGCTAATACTGGTAATGATAATAAAAGTAATAAAGCTGTAATTACTACTGATCAAACAAATAAAGGTATTCGATCAAAAGTAATTCCTGTTGATCGTATATTAATAACTGTAGTAATAAAATTTACAGCTCCTAAAATTGAAGAAATTCCTGCTAAATGAAGAGAGAAAATAGCTAAATCAACAGAAGCTCCTCCATGAGCAATATTAGAAGATAGAGGAGGGTAAACTGTTCATCCTGTTCCAGCTCCGTTYTCTACTATACTACTAACTAATAATAAAGTTAATGCAGGAGGTAAAAGTCAAAAACTTATATTATTTATTCGAGGGAATGCTATATCTGGAGCTCCTAGTATTAATGGAACTAATCAATTTCCAAATCCTCCAATTATAATTGGCATTACTATAAAAAAAATTATAATAAAAGCATGAGCTGTAACAATTACATTATAAATTTGATCATCTCCAATTAAAGCTCMAGGATGTCCTAAYTCAGCTCGAATTAGAATTCTTAAAGAAGTTCCAATTATTCCGGATCAAGCTCCAAAAATAAAATATAAAGTTCCAATATCTTTATGATTAGTTGAAAATAACCATTGTTGCGATTAAATGGCTGAAGTTTAGGCAATAGACTGTAAATCTATTTATGAGAATTATTTCTCTTTAATCATTGGCCTTATAGTCAATAATGACATTAGACTGCAATTCTAAAGGAGTAAATAATTTACTAAGGCTTAAAAGATTATTCTTATATTTATAGCTTTGAARGCTATTAGTTTATTTAACTTAAAGCCTTTAAAATAAAAAATATAAAGAAGAAATTAGGAATAACCCAAAAATTGAAATAAATGAAAAAGTTATAAAAATTTTCATATAACTAGATTTGAATATAGAATAGTTTAATCAATTATTTTCATAATAATTTAATATAAAAGCTCTATATGATAATCGTATATAAAAATATAAAGTAATTAATGTTATTAATACTATAAATGTTAATAAAAATAATTGATTATTAATAGTTAAAGATTGAATAACAATTCATTTAGGGAAAAATCCTAAAAATGGAGGTAATCCTCCTAATGATAATAAATTAAAAAATAAAAAAAATTTTATAACCTTTGAATGAAAAAATAATGAAAATAATTGGTTAATATGAGAAGTTTTAAATATATTGAATATAAAGATTATAGCAAATGAAAGAAATGAATAAAATAAAAAATATGTTATTCATAATAAATTTCTATTATATATTGCTGCTAATATTCATCCTAAATGATTGATAGAAGAATAAGCTATTAATTTACGTAAAGAAGTTTGATTCAATCCACCTAAAGCACCAATTAATCTTGAAAGAATAATACTTGTAATAATTAATGGCTTAAAAATAATATAAGAAATTAATATTAAAGGTGCAATTTTTTGTCAAGTCATTAAAATTAATGCATTTGTTCATGAAAGTCCTTCTATTACATTAGGGAATCAAAAATGAAATGGAGCAGAACCTCTTTTTAAAAGAAGAGAAGAAAAGATTATTATTTCTATAAAATAATTTGAATTTGTTTTACTTGAATTTAGTAAAAACAGAATCACTGCGAATAGAAATACTGAAGATGCTAATGCTTGAGTTAAGAAATACTTTAATGAGGCTTCTGTTGATATTAATTTATCATCTCTTATTAGGGGGATAAAAGCTAATAAATTAATTTCTAACCCTATTCAAGCACCTAACCATGAATTAGCAGAAATAGAAATTAATGTTCCTATTATTAAAATTCCGAAAAATATAATTTTTGATGAATTATTAAAAATTAAAAAGAAAAGGATTAGAACCTTTATAAATGGGGTATGAGCCCAGTAGCTTAATTAGCTTATCTTTTTATAATTATATTTTGGTGTATGATGCACAAAAGTTTTTGATACTTTTAGAAATAGTTTAATTCTATTAAATATAATGAATGTAATATTATTACATGATTTACCCTATCAAGGTAATCCTTTTTATCAGGCAATTCATTAAAAGTAGGTTTCTCATGTTTTTTTTTTTTTTTTTTTTTCTTTATACTAAAATTTTTGAAAAAGAAATATTTTTTTTTTATTATTATAATTTATTTACATAATAAAATTTAGTAGTTATGATTTTTATAAAAATTTTTTTATATGTAAATAATTAATTTTTGCATATATATATATATATATATATTTATATATATTTATTCATATATTTATATATATATTAAAATATGAATAAACATATAAATATATAATAATTAATAAATTATTTATATAATTAATATAAATAACTATCCCATACATTAATAAATTATTTTTTTTAATAAATCAATTTCAACATAATAATTAGATAAATACTTATTAATAAAGATTTAATTAGTGATATTCTTAATTGAATTTAAATTTTTTTTTGATCTAAATTAATAGATATCTATTAATTAATTAAATATTTATATATTAATAGATATCTATTAATCTATATTGGTATATAGACTAAAATTCAGATTTTGCACGCCTCAATATAAAATTTGAGAGGTATAAATTTAGAAAATGTTTTATATTATAATATTTTTAAAAAAAAAAAAAAAAAAAAAATAGATCCTTTTTAATTTATGGAGTTTTTTTTAATATATTCATATATATTTATGTTAAAATTTATTTACTAATTTAATTTATATATATTAAAATTAAATTATGAATATTTTATATAATGAATTTATTATATATATATATAAAAGTTATTAGGGGATAACTAAATTTTTATTGTATGAGTATTTACCAATTTATAATTATCTTAATAAATTAAAAAATATTTATTAGTAAATAAATAATTACTAATTTTTATTATTAATAACTTTAATTAATTTATTTATTTATTTTTATTTATTTAATAAAATAAAGAGTAAATATTAATAGGGGTAATATTTTATCAATTTATTAAATAAGTATTTATATATGAGTAATTACCAATTTTTGATTATTAAAATTAATAATTAATTATAATTGTATAAAGAAAATTTTATTATTAGAAATTATTTATTTAAATTAAATTATGATTTTAATTTACTTATTTAATTTATTTAAAAATTAATCTATTAAAAATTCAGTTAAATTAAAATTTTTAATTAGTT